CTCGCTCATTCATTGATCGATTTGCATGACAAAATGCAAAACCGCCATTGAAGAGAACTTTGATTCGATTGGCTTCACGATTATGAATCAAGGACCCTTTGAAAATTTTGAGGGTTTCATTGAGCCTAATGAAAGTTGGACTTATGTGATCTAGCTTGGATTATGTATTTTTTTTATTTTTTTTTTCTTTCAAATAATTCATTACAATAAATTTACTTGAAACAAATAAATAAAAATAAAATTTGGATTTAAAACTTGATGCCATTAAAATCATACTTTTATTAATCAATCAAAGCCACAATACTATGTTTGGGAATAACAAAACATAAAACAATAAGTATGGCAATAAACAAGAAATAAGATGTCGAAAATTATCTCAACTGGGTTTAATACACATCATACCGAGTCATTACCTCTAATGTCGTGGGATCAATGGTCAGCCTCAATCTCTATATGGGAAAGCACATGAGTCAAACCTCAATCTCCAGGATAAGGAAGCATATGGGTCAAATCTCTAATAAAACAAGAACTCTTATCATAAGGCTTAAATATCAAATTATGGTGTTAACCCCTTTAGCATCTAATTGAGAGAGATGTGCTTCTCAACACTAAACCCGTAACCCATTGGCCATGAGAGAGAGAGAAGATGAGCACCAAGGTTAGGCTAGGCTAGGTGGGGCGTATCCCTTCACAAGAGAGAGAGACTCCTTGGGGCGTACCCCTCTAAGAGATATATGGGAGAGCGAAGAGAGAGATGTGTCTCCATATGAGTAGAGGGCACCTCCTTTTATCGTGTTTTAATGAGGCTAGGATTTCTTATGGTTGGTCACCTTAGATTGAATAGGCACAATTGATGTTAGGTGACTGTAGGATAAGAGATGTGAGCTACCCATTCTATAAATTAGCCATCAAGATCTTATGGAAGGTGCTAGTACCTTATTCCCCATTTTTTTAAAATCAATTTCCCATTAATAAATTAATTATGAAAATAATCAATTATAATATTGTATATTCCAATTTCATGCATAAGCCTCTTATTTCCTTCCATGTTTGATTTCAAAATCTCCATAAAATTAAACCTTTCTAAAACACAATTTCTTAAGCCTCAAGCCAACTTGCTTGAATACACAAATTAGAAGGTAGAAGGGGGTGGGGAGTGGCACCCTAGGTGGGCTCTTATGGGCCCCACCAACTTGCAATGGTGGCCCATGTATACTAAGGGGCTCCCATGCAATAATAAAATAAAATTTTGATTTTTATAAATAAAAAATAATTATCAATTCCATTTGAATATTTAAAACAATGAAAATTCAATATCTCTTATTTTATAAATTCAAATCACATGAATAAAATACTTAGAGATTCAGAAAAATTCAAACAACAGTTCTAAAAAACAAATAGCATTAAAACAATTATAATTAAATGCTTTTGATGAGAATTGGATCTATATGGTCTAGGAATAATAAAACACTAGGGCACTCCACTTTCTACTATGGACCATAGTCCATACTTGCTTTCTCAAACTGATCCAGCTGTTTTCATGACCAATAGACCATTATAGGGGCTCATGATGGCGCCACCAAAGTCAGCCAATAGACAAATGGATGTAATCCCAGTCTGTAGATTTCAGGTTCTTCCCTAGAGATGAACAAATGTCACTTAGACCTGATGCAACTACAGCTCTATGATGCATAGGAGTAATCTCTCTCACATTCACATGCTTCACCTTGAAAAGTGGTTCGCTTCTCGATACGGTTATTATATGTACACGTCGTGTGATGGTATATGGATGATTCTTTGGCTTCATATTTAAGGGTCACCATCACACACAAGGGTCACACAATTTATTGGCTCACTCATCTGGGCAGATTCTGATCTCATCAAGAGAAGACCCATCATAACTCTTATCGGTTTAATATATATGCCCAGGTAATATGGATTTTTTTCAGCCGACTGACTTAGCACGTCAAGCATAGTCCGATATAAAAAAATATCATTTATTTAGTATGATTCACACAGGATTATACTTCTATTGAATTTATGTTGTACTATATAAAATGCTTATACAAACTCTCATAACCCTTTAATGATCACATATACCCAACACCTAAAATAGGTCTCATAACCCTTTAATCACCACATATACCCAACACCTAAAACAAAGTGACAAGCCATGGGTGGCTCCTTGTCCTGCGGAGCCATGGCACCCTCTTGTCGAGTTCTCTCTCTTCTCCCTCAACTCCTTCATGCTCTTGGTTTTGTTTCACATAAGTGGTAACAGGAAATGATCCCTCTCTCTCTCTAGCTTTTGCTTCTTGCAGTTTGTTTCTTG